AGCATCTCACTATCTACACTTAGAACCTCTCTCTTGGGTAAACTATGCAAAAATATATACACATACATTAAATCTAAAACAAAAACATAATTGAGCCGTGAGACCCCAAATTCCTGATTGATGGTCTCAATCAGGCCCTTGATTGCTACGACGCAAACATCACTACCAGAGCACCCAGTTCCTATCCGAAGACAGGCTCCATCAAGTGCATGCGCATTGGTTGAGAGCTGCTTGTAGCTGCTGGAGGGCAGCAATTTGAGGAAGTAGTCACCGGTTTTGTACAAGCTGGGCTCCGGGGCCTCAATCTTGACCCCTCCACTTAGCAGCTGACTCTTGCTGCAGAAAAAGTGTCTGTTTCTAAACTTCTTGGATGTGAACTTGACACAGACGGGCTTCACTGCCTCTGCCCCGCTGATGCTCCAGCAAAAGACACCTGTGCCATTCTGTAGCCTTTCAGCTCAGAATGCCATATCCACTTTGTTCAAGTTCATTTTTGACAAGTTGTACTTGTTGCTCACAGGGCTGCAGCTGTCGACCATCATTGAACCCACATACGCAAAGCTGCTGCCTAGGCTTTGGCTGACCACAATGTGGAATTTGCTCGGTAACTGTTTGGTGGCATAGCTTCGCAAAATGCTGCCGCCAGAGTGTTTCTGCAACTGTTGGAATGTTTGTTCTGTTAGCACCACGCACAGGACTTGGTCATCCTCACTGGGCTGGTTGGGCTGTGTTGGCGCTGAATGTGTTTGCGCTGCAGGTGGTGGTTTACCTGGTTTACCAGGCACTGGTGCCACAGTCTGTTGAATCCTGCCGTCCTTTTTTAAAGACTCTCTCAGCTCCTCTATAGCCAACTCTCTTTCTGTCAATTTGCGTTTTGAGGGGGGTCGTCTTGCATTCCTTTCAAGCTCCTCTTGCTTGACTCTTTGTTGCTGTGACTGGCTTGGGCCTGCTCCCTTCTGGCATGGCTTGCTGTGAACCGGTTCTCGAATCTCTTGCTTGATTTCGCTGGGACTGCTATGAATTGATTCTTGCTTGACAGTCAAAGGACTGCTGTGAATCGATTCTGGGTGTTCCTCCTTCACCTCAGCAGCACCTCGAAACGACTCTTTGCTTTGTTGCTTTCTTTGTCGCCTGCCTGCTGGTGTTGCCTTTGCTGCTGTCATAGGGCGCTTGCCAATTCCGCCTTTCTTTGCTGAAAGTGCATATCTCCGGCAAGCTTCTATGCCCTTGGCGACCTTGTGCTTCCCTAGCGGTGTCGCGATTGGCGCAGCGTATGCCGGGGGTCCCAAGTGATGGCTGCTTGCAAGGACTCCCCCATTCTGTGCTGCTGGTATGTCTTTGTGCTCCTCTGCGTGTGGTGCTGGCACAGGCTGTTTGGGAAGGCTGGCATCTTGAACGGGC